TTCTGTTTCTCCATGTTCTGTTCTTGACAGTAGCCTCTTGTCCTGAGTAAAGATTCCTCATCGGGACTATCAAATGTGTTGGCACTGCCATGTCTTTAAGGGCATTCCATAGCCTTTCATGATCTATGTAGTCAAAGACTTTGCTATTGTTTATAAAGCACATGCTGATTTTCTTTTGGAATTCTCTGGTGCACTCCATTAGCCATCGTATGTTTGCAACATGGTCCCTTGTTCCTCTTCCTTTCCTGGACTCCACTTGGACTTCTGGGAATTCTCTCTCCATGTATGGTTCAAGTCTATATTGCATAATTGGATTGCAGCAGTTCAATTGGAATATCATCTGTTTCTGGTTATTTGTTTTTTGCTATTTCTCTTATTGCAGTTTCCACTTCACTTTTTAGAATTTGGGGTTCATCTTTATATGGCTCTTCATTCCATGTGTCCTTCATTTTATCATCGCTTTTGTATAATTCTTCTGTGTATTGCATCCAACGTCTTTTTATTCCTTTTTGGTCTTTAACAGCTGCATATGCTTTGGATTAATTACAGGCTGGTTTACAATAGGGCTCAAGAACCAAAGGACTGTGGCAAAGGTTTCACAGGTAGACTGCAATGATATTTTTGGAAGAATCATATGGCACACTTGTCACATAAGCCTGGTTCAAGGCAGCCCGCAAGTCACCAGTGAGATCAGTGATAGCCACCCAAAATTGACACACAGACCCAAAAGTACTGATGGCTTGACAAGAATGTCAGACTTGGAAGTCTTCCTATCTTCACTGTACAGGTAAAATACTTGCTTTCCTTTCCAATTTGGCAAATAGCTACCATGGTTAAAGCAGAGCTTGTGCGGGATACTTTTTTTGAATTACCACAACTGGTTCTGAACAATTTAGAAAGAAAATGCTGTATCATTTTTATTGCACTTACACAATACCTCCAGCATCACATCCCTAGATGGCAGATGACTCATTCCCATAAGACTAGAAGGGAAAGCTGAGGTCAATGAGCCGAGGCCACCACATGAGACTATGATCAACAGATTGTTCATCCAATATTCTCCTGAATGGGTCACACAGAATCATTTTTTGACAAGGGAGTTCAGTAAGGAAACAGTAAAATTATCACACAATGATAAAATACTCATGTTGTGCCGTATGTTTTTGTAATTGTCAAAAGAAGCCTTCTTGGACAAGAGACTGCTACTCACATGGCTTTAAAGTAGAACTAGGTCAATGTTTAATAAGATTACACTCTTGTTATCTCAAAGCTTTTAACTCCCCTGCTTATATTCTAGTAAGAATACAAGGATGAAATGAGTTATAAGCAAGTCAGTCACCCCAAAATGAATGTGCTTACCACCATGTTGATGTGCCTTCAAGTGTTCTATATTTCAGAAATAAGTAACTTTCTAATAATGGATTGGGTGCACAGAAAGGGAGAATATGAAAGAAAAAAAGTGTATTTTAAGACTGTTTGATCATATCCACTTAAAACTTATGTCAGAATATCACAACAATACCTCAGATGCCTTCAAGAAAAGCCAACAATTCCAAATTAAACTTATTTAATACTGAAGACACTGCAATACTACATATGCTTACTCAGAGGTAAGCCCCACTGCACTCAACAGGATTTATTCCAAGGTGAGTATATATTGCAGGACAGGAATCCTGTGTACTCCAAATGGGCACTGGGCACCACAGCAAATGGTGAGAAATGCTGAGATGTAGTCTGACAACCTTCCTTAGAAAGGAACACTGTGATTACTAAAAGACAGCATGGGCTTCTCAAAAACAAGTCATGCCAGACTGATCTTATCCCTTTTTTTTGATAGAGTCACAAGCTTGGTAGGTGAAGGGAACGCTGTGGATGTAGCATATCTTGATTTCAGTAAAGCTTTTGACAAAGTCTCCCATGATACCCTTGCAAAAAATTTAGTAAAATGGGGGCTACACAATGCAACTGTTGGGTGGATTGGTAATTGGTTGACTGACTGAACCCAAAGGGTAATCAACAATGGCTCCTCTACATCTTGGAGAGAAGTGACTAGCTGCGTGCCACAGGATTCTGTGCTATTCATCATCTATTCAATGCTGATTTTGTGCTATTCAATATCTATTTGATTCTGTCCAATTCGATCTCTTTATCAATGATCAATAAAGGGCTTATCAAACCTATAGATGACACTAACTTAGGAGGGGTAGCTGATACCTCAAGGACAGGATCAGAATCCAAAATAACCTTAACAGATTACAAAGCCTGGCCAAAACTAACAAAGTGAATTTCAACAGGGAGAAATGTATGATACCACACCTGGGCAATACAAATGAAAAACACAGACACAGGATGGGTGAGAAGTGGCTTGACAGTGATACATGCAAAAGGGATCTAGGAGTTTTAGTGGACCACAGGCTGAACATGAGTCACCAATGTGATGTGGCAGCTAAGAAAATCACTGCAATTCTAGGCTGCATCAATAGGAGTATAGTGTCTAGATCAGGGGTAGGCAACCTTTCCCCTTTAAGGGCCGAGGGACTTCAGCTCCCAGAATCCCAGGAGCTATTGGCCAACATGGGACTATTGGCCAACATGGCTGAGGCTTCTGGGAGCTGAAGTCCCTCGGCCCTTAAAGGGGAAAGGTTGCCTACCCCTGGTCTAGATCGAGGGAAGTAATGGTACCACTCTATACTGCTTTGGTCAGACTTCACCTGGAATACTGTGTTAGTTCTGGGCACCACATTTCAAGAAGGATGTGGACAAGGTGGAGCATGTTCAGAGGAGGGTGATCAAAATGGGAAAAGGTCTGAAAACCATTCCCTGCAGCTTAGGGAGCTGGGTATGCTTGGCCTGAAGAAGAGAAGGTTAAAGGATAACATGATAGCCATGTTTAAATATTTGAAGGGATGCCATATTGAGGATGGAGCAAGCTTGTTTCCTCTTGCTCCAGAGCCTAGGGTCCAGAACACACTGCAGAAATAATCCAGTTTGAGATCTCTTTAACCACCCTGGTTCAATGCTAGGGAATTCTGGGAACTGTAGTTTTGTGAGACATCTAGCCTTTTCTGTCAGACAGCGCTCTGGTGACACAATAAATTACAATTCCCAGGATTCCCTAGCACTGAGCCAGGGTAGTTAAAGCGGTCTCAAACTGGATTTTTTCTGCAGTGTGTTTTGGACAGGACACAAAATAATGGATTCCAGCTACAGGAATAGAAATTCTATCTAAATGTTAGAAAGAATTTCCTGATGGTAAGTGCTGTTTGACAGTGGAACACAGTGCCTCAGAGTGCGGTGGAATCTCCTTCTTTGGAGGTTTTTAAACAGAGGCTGGATGGCCATCTGTCAGGAGTGTTTTGATTGTGTATTTCTGCATGGCAGGGGATTGGACTGGATGACCCTTAAGGTCTTTCCAATTCTATGATTCTATCATGTAAGGGCTGCTCAGTTCCCGTCCCTGATATATAGGGTCACAACCTTAGTTGCACAGCTAAGTGATGCTTTATAACGAGAGTATACAAGGAGCCTTTATTAGGGCAGAGTTGAGTTCAGATACCTCCCTCAATGATGCTGCCATTTCCATGCCTATTCAAGGCTGTGGAAGAATAAACATATTTATTTCAGCACTGAGCTACATTATAAACCCGGGGCAGTACATGCTCCAAGGCAATCTACTTATAGGCATCCCAAAGTCAGCAACACAGAAAAATAATTCCTCCTGCTCCTCACACACACTACAAATTCAAGTATCCCACAGCCTAGCACCCAAACCTTCTCACATACATTATTTGTAAAGAATGCCTGACAGGGACAGGACATGGAAGTACTAGAACGCTGTTGAGGGCTGCAGATTAGAATGGTGACATTCTTCCCACACCAATGATAGCCAAACCATGACAAAGGAGCCATTATCTACTGCTGTATTCCATTAGTATCATGTATAGATTATTTACAGTACAAGCCATTTCACAATCGTGGTTTTGTTCCCTCTCACTGCTTCCAAGTGATGCAAGTTATTATCCTCCCCATTATACAGATAGCAAACTGAAGCTGAATGAGTTCTTACCTGAAGCTACTGGCAAATTTCTGGCTACACTGGGACAACTTCTTGCAAATGCCAGGATCCACAGGATTTGTACAAGCTTTCTTGATATACCCCTTAACTCCCTCCCCATCTAATTTTACTGTCTGTTACATTTCTCCTAATATCAGGAGCATTATATGCATTCAGAGCATAAGCTAAATAAGATGAACCAACATCACTGTCCTCCCCCTCTTTAGTAAGTGAGTTTATAAAGTTGCATCCATCTCATGTATGCCAAGGATGGGAAAATAAACTTCTCTTTCACAGGCCTCTTAACAGAGAATGCTTTTTATTTATACTGCCTACTCCTCTGCATTCACTCTTCAGCCACTTAAACAGACTGCAAACAATGGCTACAGCATTTTTGAAGTCTTCACATCTTTTTTGCCCCATGCTGGATAAAAAATGAGTCTGAATATGCAGCTGCCACACCAAGCAACTTATGTTACATTACTCAATGGGAACGCCTTGTAAATACAGCCTGCACAAATGAGACCCCAAATGTTATAAAGGCTTGAAAAACTCCCCCTTTGAACTGTGCAATTATTTCTGCAGAAGCCAAGGATGAAGCACACTTGCAAATTTACATAGCACTTACTTAAAAGCTAACATTCTTCCAGGGCTTGTAGTGGTTGGGGGAGCAGTAGTGAAAGAGGAGAAGGCTGGTGATTGCCTTCTATTTTGTTTAAAAAATTAATTGGCAACTATTCTGGCTTGTTTTGTTTTCTTTTGACTCATTCATGTTGTTGCATGCACATATATTAAGCCAGTGCTTCTTAAAGCTATCTGGTGAGGGAGACTGGTAGGGTTCTTGCCCCTCCATAGACCATTGGGGAGAAAAAGTAGATTGCTGCTTAATGCTTTTGTATTCAAATTTTCTTCAGCTATTTTAATTTAACATAAGGCACGCCTTGATAATATGCCAGGTTAGGTTCCAGACCATCATGGTAAAGCGAATATCACCTTAAAGCGAATCATAGCCTTTTTTTCACTTGCATATAAAAACCTACATAAAAACCAATGCTAGCATGGCATAGTAGTATAGTGTGTTTTAAGCATCGGACTATGACTCTGGAAACCAGGGTTCGATTCCCAGCTTGGCCATGGAAACTCACTAGGTGACCATGGGAAAGTCACACTCTCTTAGCCTCAAAGGATGACAATGTAAACCCCCCCTCTGAACAAACCTTGCCAAGAAAACCCCATGATAGGTTCACCTTAGTGTCTCCATAAGTCAAAAATGATTGGAGGCACACAACAGCCACCAGTGCATATACCTACACATATATTTACACTACAGAGGTTTGAACTTGATGGCCCATGATTTTATGATTCTATAGCTTTCAACTATGAAGTGCATGAACACATTACCGTAAAAGAAGGCCTCCAAAGAGAATGCAAATATGTGCACAGTTGTGCTGATCCATATTAAAAAAAAAAAAAAAAGAGTTCTAGCAGTTTTCATCTTCATTAAGATCAGGTCTTTTTAGAGTAGGCAGGTAGACATGAGAAAAGGGAAAAGAAATACAGTCAGCTCTCAATACCATGGATTCAAGTATCCACGGCTTGAAAATATTCAAAAATATATAAATTCCAAATAGCAAACCTTCATCTTGTCGTTTTATATAGGACACCATTTTACTATCCATGTATTTAATGTGACTTGAACATCCATGGATTTTGGTATCCATGGAGGGTCCTGGAACCAAACCCCAGGAAATACCAAGGGCCACTGTAGAACTCAGAAAATCAAAGGTAGAAGGGAAGGCAAGAATATATCCAGCCCAACTATCATTTTCAAGGCTGGCACAAAGCAGCTTAGATCCTAAATCAAATCAAAACCTGAATCCAGGCCCAACAGCCTCAAAATGTGCTTCAATATATACTTCAACTGGAAAATGTCTTGCTATACATGTGCAGAATCACAGAATCATAGAGTTGTAAGAGACCACAAGGGCCATCCAGTCCAACCCCCTGCCATGCAGGAACTCAAAATCAAAGCATCCCCACAGATGGCCATCCAACCTCTGTTTAAAGACCTCCAAAGAAAGACTCCACCACACTCCGAGGGAGTGTGTTCCACTGTCGAACAGCTCTCACTATCAGGAAGTTCCTCCTAATGTTGAGGTGGAATCTCTTTTCCTGTAGCTTGCATTGATTGTTCCGGGTCCTGTTCTCTGGAGCAGTAGAAACCAAGCTAACTCCCTCCTCAATATGAGATGCCTTCAAAAATTTAAACAGGACTATCATATCACCTCTTAACCATCTGTTCTCCAGGCTAAACATACCCAGTTCTCTAAGTTGTTCCTCATATGGTTTCCAGATCCTTCACCATTTTAGTCGCCCTCCTCTGGACACGCTCCAGTTTTTCAACAACCTTTTTGAACTGTGGTGCCCAGAACTGGACACAGTATTCCAGGTGGGGCCTGATCAAAGCAGAACAGAGTGGCACTAGACACTATACTTCTACACTATATCTTGACCTAGACACTATACTTCTATTGATGCAGCCTAGAATTGCATTGGCCTTTTTAGCTGCTGCATCACACTGTTGACCCATGTTCAACTTGTGGTCTACTAAGATTCCTAGACCCCTTTCACATGTAGTCTCATTAAGCCAGGTGCCCCCCATCTTATATCTATGCATTTCCTTACATTTGTCTGTGTTGAAATTCATTTTATTAGCTTTGGCCCAGCTTTCTAATCTATTAAGGTTATTTTGAATTTTCATCCTGTCTTCTGGGGTATTAGCTAGTCCTCCTAATTTGGTGTCATCTGCAAATTTGAGAAGCATGCCCCCTATTCCTTCATCCAAATCATTGATAAAGATGTTGAATAGCACTGGCCCCAGGACAGAACCCTGTGGCACCCCACTGGTCACTTCTCTCCAGGATGAAGAGGAGCCATTGCTGAGCACCCTTTGGGTTTGGTATGTCAACTAATTACTAACAGTTGTATTGTCTATCCCACATTTTACTATCCTGTTTTCAAGAATATTATGGAGGACCTTGTCAAAAGCCTTACTGAAATCAAGATATGCTATGACTATTGAATTCCCTTCTTCTACCAAACTTGTAATTTTACTGCAAAAAGAGATCAGACTAGTCTAGCATGACTTGTTTTTGAGAAACCCATGCTGACTTTTAGTGA